AAAAGAGACTAGGAAATAGGGAGCAAACAATAGAGAACAAATGGTGGAAATTGCGAAGAAGACAAGCAAAACCAAAGTCAGGGAGAGAAAGAGCTAAAGAATGAACTTAACAAAGAATTTTGGAGAAAAATTCTGAGAAAAAACCAGGAGCAGTATTAGACCAATATCTCTAAAGATATCAAAGATGGAAGCAGGCACAGTAAAATGACGGAAGTCTTCCAAAAGATCTCCAAACTCAAAAGGAAATTCCACTCTCAAATCAGCCTCAAAGGATAGCCTCAAACTGACTCAAAGAAGATTAGAGAAAGATAGAATGTGCTTAAGTTTTGTACAATAGAGGTGTCAGTATCTAAGTCACCTTAGAAAATATTTCCTATTTACAAGAATCTCCAGTATTAAAAAATGAAGTTAGATCAGCATTCCAGTCATTACCAAATCAGAAGGCTACGGAAATTGATGGAATGTCTACAAAAATATGGCAAACAACCGAAGACTCAGTAAAAACTGTAACTGAATTATGCCAGCAAATCTGGAGAACAACATAGTGGCTAACAGATTGGAAACAGTCAGTTTACATACGAATACCAAAGAAAAGAGTCTGAAAAGTATTATATGAGTATGCAAAGTATTATATGACATCCTTAATGTCACATGCTAGCAAAATAATGCTAAATTAATCCCACAGAGGTTAGAGCTCTATATGGAAAGGAGAATATTACGTGTTGTCTGGTTTTAGAAAAGGCTAACAAGAAACATTATTGCTGATGCATGCTGAATAATTGGGAAAGCTAAACAATACCAACAATAAATCAATGTGTGTTTAATTGGTTATAAAACAGCCCACAGTTGTGTCAACTATGTCAAGCTGTGGAATGTTTGGGGGAATGTAGAACATCTCATTGGCTCTTCATGTGAAATCTGTACAAAGGACAGGAAGCCATGGTTGAGATGGAACATGATGAAATAGACTTTCTCCAGGTCAGCAAAGGAATGAAACAAAGCTGCATACTCTCTCCTTATTTATTCTCTCTTTTGTGCTGAAGATTAGGGAGGCTGGATTGGAAGATGTGGTTTTAAAACAGTAGGAAGAAACATCAATAATCTGTGCTATGCTGATGGCAGTACTCTGATAGCAGAAAATGCAAAGGATCTGAAAACTCAAGTAATGAAAGTCCAGGAGCAGTAAAAAAAAAAAATGGGGCTAAGTTTAAATATAAGAAAGATCAAAAGAATGACAACAGGTACAGCAACCAGCCTTCAAACTGACAATGAAGACATTGAACTGAAGCGCTTAGGATCATCTATCAACACAAAAGGAAGTCAAGAATTAGCACCTGGTAGGATAGTAATGAAGGTAATGGGAAACCAAAATATTCAGATGCTATGGTCTCTCTCTGTCTGTAAAGATCAGAGTAATTCAATCAGTGGCTTTCCTTCCTTTCCTACGAATATGAAGGTTGGACTTTGAAGCAACATAATAGAGTGTTCAAGCTTTTAAACTTTGGTGTTGGGGAAGACTGCTGAGAATACCATAGCTAGCCAAGAAAAAAAACAGATAACAGAGGAAATCAATGCAGAATTCACTTTAGGCAGAAATTATTATTCTTAAATTATAATAGTTTGGGTATCTTTATTATTTATTCATGATATAGGGCCTAGTTATCCGAGGGACCACCTCCCTCCAACTGTTTCTGACCACCTGGTACATTCAGAGGATGTGCAGTCTAGGTGCCTACTATTAAACTGCTAAACTTCTGGGGCCAAGGAAGTGTGCCTTCTCTGTCGCTGCCCTCACTCTAGAACAGCAACCCCCAGAGATAAGAAAGGCGCCCACTTCCTTGGCATTCAAGAAAACCCTTAAGACCTGACCCTCTTCCCAGGCCAAGGGATTGTGTTCATTGATGTATGGGTGGGGCCATACATTAGTATTTGTATTTATTGTTCTGGTGGTTTTAGTCCAGATCATCTATTTATGTGCTTGTTGTTATTGTTTTTTGGATACTGTAAGCCACTCATGGAGTGGATGGCTATAACAAATTTAGTAAATTATTCATGCAGTATTAAATTTTTGTTTGTAAACAATCAGTTCTCTGAGAAAATGAGACACAATAGTTAATGCTCCCACCCCTATGTCTAAGATACTATACTACCAATAAAAATAATTTATGACAGAACATAACTTTTAGCATAGTTGAAGTTATCATTTGGAGAGTAGTGGCAGCAAACTATATTTATCCCACAATTGGAAGAACTTATGACACTGATACCAAATAACCTGGTTGCCACTGTCAACACAACTGAAAGCTGCTGGGACTAGAGACAACTGATGTAAAATATGTACCACCACCCCAATCTAATCACATTCCAAAGCCAAATTCTAAGGTTTCATACCAAGTCTTAACAAATTTACTCATTTGGCGTTGAGGTAGTTGTCTTCTTTTGGCCATTTGGCAGAAATGTCACACATCTTAAATCAAGCGATTAGTGTGATTTGAACCACATAGAATGGATGTTTCAGAGTCAATTTCATAAGGGACAGATTTTAAGGAACTGCAGATGTTGAGGGTGGTTCATGGACTATGACAGCTATATGACAGGTGTATTGTTCATTCTTGGCATGTGACATCATGGTAAGGATGGCTTGCACCAACACATACCTCTGGGTTCAAAGGGACACCAGGGTATCTCACAGATCACAACATCTCTATTGTGAAAGCCTTGATAGCATGCCAGATCTGAACTTCAGTCCTTTAATTCAGGCTCTTCCCACAAGTCCGTTCAAATGAAGAACAAAACCAAAGTTCAGCCTTGCTTTGAGTTCCTGGGCTCTCCCACATTAGAAATCAAGCACAGCTTGTTCAAATTGTAGCTGGTAAAGTTGGCTGGATCCCCATCCTCGCAGAAATCTCAAGGGACAGGTTATTTTGCTCGTGTACTGGCTGCTCAGAAACTGCTGATGGAGAGAAGGGGAGGGGAGTCATCTTAGCCCTCTATCTGCTTAGGTTGAGCAAGAGAAAGAAAGATCTGCTTCCCATTTGCCAATGGGTAGCCCTTGGTTACAGGCAGCAGCCGCTGTCTCTGGGATGCCAGTCAGGCTCTGCTATTGGTGGAGAGGGCCAGCCAGGCTCTCCAACTTGCTGATGGGCCACCCGTTGCCTTGGCAACAGCAGCATCCAGATACGCTTGTGAAGGCAAGGCAACAGAGATTCTGCAAGCTTCTCCAGAAAGCCCTAGCGACCACCATGCAGTTCCACCTGAACCTAAGCCACACAATGCAAGATTGGTAGGGAGGGGGGTAGAATTCCTTGAAATGTTGCATAGAATGCCTACATCCTAGCAGGTATATTTCAGTGTACTGTCATACTGCAGGAAATCCTACTGAAGGTCTCAGATGAAATAGTATTATTACCGTGTGTGTGTGTGTGTTTGTGTGTAGGGGTGGGGACACTAAAAAAAATCAGGAAGTTTTTACATGGGTGTCTTATATTCCCTGTATTACCATGCCTAATTTAACACAGGGCTTGGTGCCCAGCTATGGAGTGTGTACTTTTGGAGAAGTGCCCCTAAATGTGGAAGGCTGATTATATGCCAAGTCAAAATGCTATTCGCTTATTTATGATCTATTACACCAGTTATTACAACATCTAAACTGGCTTCTGTATCTTCCACGGAACTTGATCCTTGGAACTTGATCCTTAAAACAACCTAGGGCTGAACAGGAACAACTATCTGAAATGTGTCCAAAACTGGCATCTAATGGAAATCTACCTGCAGAGCAACAATCTAAAGGCAGTTCAAATAAATAAAGCTAAGTGCAAAGTACAAAGAAGAAAAAAATCTCACTCCTGGTCTGGTGGTTCTTTATATCCAACAGAAGAGGACTTTTCTAGTTTGAGATTGATGGCTGCTTTTATGACAGTCATCAATCACAAGAAACTCATTTCCTCTCATTATCCATATATGGGAATTCATTCTTCTTAAATCCAGCTAGATCAAGAACAAAGCACTCTAAGCTTATGAATCTAAATGATTTCACTAGCAGTTGTAGATCAGTACAGTACTAGGACTCCCTCTATAGTACTGCTTAGGAACAACATTCCAGTTTTTGAAAACAAAGGACAATCGCTATAGGGGAGGGGTTGTTGGCTAAAAACTGAAAAAAGGACAGGCGCTTTTTCACTGCCATCCAGATTAGGAGCAGACAGCAGACAGCTTAGGAGACTTAGCATGAAAATCATACAGGAAGGGAAAAAGAAAAATGGGGTTTACGCCTATGAAGGACTAGGGGTGTAAAAGAAGACGCGTTTACAAAAAACTAGATGTATTTGTACAATATACTAAATTTGACTAGTGTTTATGTTCTGGTTCTGGGATTCTATTATGCAATTCCATTGTTTGATTTGTTAATGATTTAACAGTGTGAAAATGGGATAATTCAATTGCAGAATTGTTTGGATTAAGAATCCCAATGGTGCTTTTTCAAGAGGCAACTGAACTGTCTTGATTTTCTTTGAAGATGTTTCGCTTCTCATCCAAGAAGCTTTTTCAGAGCTGAAGAAACTTTTTGGATGAGAAGCAAAATATCTTTAAAAAAACAAACAAGCAGTCCAGTTGCCTCTTGAAAAAACACCTTTGGGACAACCATGACCTGGCTATGGAGAATCTCCATAGATAAATTAAATAGTTTAAACAATATTGTATAAATGCAGTTTTAGGGGGCAAAAAAAATGCCCTGGGAAGATTACTGCAGAGAACACAATCTTCAATTAAAAAGCACATTTTGCCACTATTCTAAGTCATTCCCAATGTTAATATAAAAGATGCCATAGTTAAAGACAGCTCAATTACATATGTATCATCAGTCTTTGTGCTTTTGAAGTTTTAAAGCAAAGTGTGCGTGTGTGTGTGTGTGTAAATGTATGTTTGTGTGTGTGTGGCTTGAATGTCTTGTAGACATAAGAAAACCACAGTACAGCTATACAATACAATCTGCAAAAAACCACAGTGGTAAAATAGTTTATCCGATTAAATTACATTTAGGATAAAGACATGATTGGCTCTCAGTACCAGAAGTCAAACTGTCCATCTATTTGAATGCTTAACAAAAATGAAATATTTGTTTATAACATTCAAATTTCTTTTTGCATTTTTACATTCTGCAGCAGCTTTGGGCCCAAATCCAGAACAAGTCTCAACAATAATATAAATATGCCTATGCAGAAAGAGGCAACATTTCAACTCCTGTGAAAAGAAAGGAAAAACAACCTCAAATCTTTCCATTCCTTCCTTCCAAGAGGAAGAATAATATTTTGCATTGGCAAGCACCTATATTTCTTCTCCAAAGGTTGTTAAGCATGGACAACTAACCACATAAAATTATGGCTGCTTCAAATTCCTCTAAAACCGTAAAGTCCTCTAGGCACTAGTTGAAAGTTCCCCAAGAGATTGTTCATATAACCCAAAAGCTGCTGAATGAATGGCCTGCAGGAGAAATTCACAAATCTCTTGGCACTGTTCTTTTTCACCTGCTTCCAAAGCTTCTCCAAAAGATCAGCATATGAGGTTAGCACAACTTTCTTCTTTTCACTGGAATCTGAGTAGGATCATGACACCCGATAAAAATAGCATGAGGACAAAAGTTTCTAAGAGTCTGTACTTCTCCTGCTTCACGGTCTCTTTGCGCTTCTGCAATTCTTGCTGCTTTAGCCGCAAAAGGCGCTCCCGTTCCAATTGCTCACCATAATGGGCTCGGTAAAATTCATCAAAGTTGAAGATGGGCTTGCCCGAAGGACGACCAAATGTGTAAGACTGCGTCTTCTTGGACACTGTCTGAGTTGCTGCTTTACTTTTGCCGGACGGCTTCTTAGCATTGGACATGTCCTTCTGGGTGAGGAGGCCACGGTCGTACTTCTTGCGCAGGCTGAGGCTGCCCAACACCTGATAGGCCTGAGTGACGTGGATGAAGCGCTCAGCCGCCTCCCCGCTGCCCGCATTCCGATCTGGGTGATAGAGAAAGGACTGTTTATAGTAAGCAGTCTTAATTTGGGCCTGAGTAGCGTTGCTTTGCACTCCCAGCAATTCGTACAGGTCCTTCGGGCGAGCACGGTGCCAAACGTTTCCCCCTTCCTGGCCATTACCCTGGCCAGGACCTGATCGCCCACGAAAGAGGACGGGAAAGACAAGGGTAGGCAGCGCTGCTTTTTGGGGCCTAAGCCCGGCTCCATAGGACGACCGGAGGAGATCTGAGACGAGGACAGAGGAAGCCCTTGACTGGCGCTGCGATCTCGCCAGGGCCATTGGCAGCGTCTTTAAAAGCCGGCGGCGACTCGCTTGCACGCGACCTCTGCCATCTTGGGTTACCCGAGCGATAAGCAAAATCAACCGGTAACCCAAGCCCAGAAAGGAAGCCCATTGGAAAATTCTTCCTGGCCGGCCAAAAGGCGGGGCGTAGTCAGCTATTGGTGAGCTCTTGATGGAAGTTGCACGCAGCCACTAACAAGGCGAAAGCAGGGGAAAGGCAGCGCTAGAGAGAGACGGTGTGTCCCAACGCGTGGAATGTCGGGCGCATGAGTGAAGCGGTCAATAGTGTCGTTTCCGGTAAGAGCGAGGGGGGGGGGTAGGCGAGCGAAGTCTACAGATAGACGGGAAGCTTGGCCAATTCAAGAGCTGGTAGGTGGGACAAAGGTCAATACGGGGAGAATTACGTCATACGTAGCGTTTATGAATTGTTTCTATGTCACCCACCTGTCCACCAATGGGAGGGCTTTATAGGGTGGGCTCGGAATGTAAAGCCTCTGAATCGAATGGTAGCAGAAACTGCGTAATTCTTAACTCGGGGCTTTTATTGGCAGCCGCTCAATGAGACCCTGAGAGGAGTTAGTAACAGGATGTTGCCGCCTAGCTCCGTCCCGTCATTAAGATTGTTAATAAAGATTGTTTTGTAGCGTCCTTGTGTAAGGTTTTCTGTGGCCGTGTTAACATAACACTATTAACCAGGGTAGTTTACCCTAACAGCAACATTTGGACAATACGCTATCGGTATTAAAACGCAATTCGTTTTAACTTTTTTGTCCTATGTCGTGAGAACTCAGCCCTCTTGGTTAACTGATTATTTAGTGTACTACGCAAAATGGATTAATTCAGTATACAACCTAATTATTTTGCATGTACACATTGGATTCCCATGTGATAGCCTGTGCTTTATAGTGTGCTGAAAAACCATAGATTGGACTGATTTTAAATACGCAATATGCTGTGGATTGCACATTACAGTTATTTATTTATTTATTTATTTATTTATTTATTTTTCCAACTTCTATGCCGCCCTTCTCCCCACGGGACTCAGGGCGGCTCACAGCATATTAAAAAACAACACAAAAAACATTTCCCCTATAAAACCAATTAAAAACCAAATATATTTATGGCTGTGTCATTATTAAAATCTTTAAAAAATTATTCCCTATTTAAAATTCACCCTAGNCTGCCTGGCCGACGGCACCCTGAGGAGGCCCGCTCTGTGGGAGCGTACCGGTCTGTGGGAGGGAATCTGTGGCAGAAGGCGGTCTCGTAGATATCCAGGTCCTATGCCATGGAGCGCTTTAAAGGTGGTAACTAACACCTTAAAGCGTACCCGGAAGGCCACTGGTAGCCAGTGCAGCTCGCGCAGCAGCGGCGTTACAGTTGCTGCATTCATGCATTATCTAAATCAGAATGAAACAAGCACAATTAAAGTATGTCATGATGTGTGAACACAATCGCTGTCTCATTTTATAATATAGAAGCTTAAACCCTGAATTATAGCAGTAGTAATTACATTATATTTGCATTATCAGTTACTTAAAGACTTCACATGTGCTTCAGGGAGCAAATCCCGAGTCTGTAAGTGTATGAATACAAGAACATTGAAAACTAAATAAGGGAGTTTTGGTTCTTTTCAGTCAAGGTTAAATGATAAGACTAGATTTCTCTTCTCTTACAAACATTTGACCTTTACCCCAAAGTTTTGGGGAAAGGATTAAAGAAAAAAGAGCAATTTCTACTTGCAGGGTCATTTGTCCATCTCTGGTTGAATATAAACTAACAAGAGATTAACATAGGCACCTGTAACAAGCCGGCAGTGGTGTCAAAATGACATATTATATGACATATTATACCTTCAAAATGACATACCTTCAGAATTATGCAACTATGTGGTTTGTTTTACATTTGTTGATTTAGAGTGTACTCAAACTGAGAGGCCTTGAATTACCAAACATTTTGAAATTTGGTTGCTGAATGAAGTAAGAGTAATAATACGTGATGAAAGTAAAGAAATTGAATGTGTAATGAATGGTTTAGCATTGAGCAAGGAGTAAGTAAGGCAAGGGTGTATGATGTCTCCTTAATGTATTTATGGATAAAAATATAAAGGATTCTGGTAATAGCAATAGCACTTAGACTTATATACAGCTTCATAATGATTTACAGCCCCCTCTAAGCGGTTTACAGAGTCAGCATATTGCCCCCAACAATCTGGGTCCTCATTTTACCAACCTTGGAAGGATGGAAGGCTGAGTCATCCCTTAGCCAGTCAGGATCAAACTCCTGGCAGTGGAATGCAGTTAGCCTGCAATACAACATTCTAACCACTGTGCCACCACAGCTCTTAGGTGATGGTATGTCAGTAGGTGGTATGTTGATTAGAGATGTGAATGCATGTGTACTTTAGAGTGCCAGTGATGTTCTGTGGTTGGCCAAGAGCCCAGATGATTTGCAGTGAATGTTAAAGTGCATGATGCAATAAGAAGCGGGAATCTGAGAATTAATGTGCCAAAGCTCCAAGTAGTTGTGTTTGACAGAGAAAATGGAGCAAATTATTGTACTGCAAGACAACACATAAAAGCCAAAAAAAAAATGAATTTGCACTCTTAGTAGAGTGTTTACTAATGATGGGAAAATGGAGGTAAAAGCAAACAAATGCAAAGAGAAAGTAATGGGTGGTATGTAGTCTGTTGTACTGAATGAATGTTTGTCAAAAGAAAAAAACATAGCTGTATGTGAGTGCATTTCTGCCATTTTTTTAATAAAGTGGGAGTTATGTTTGTCAGGAGAAATTGAACAAATATATTAGATACAATGGCTACAGGATATTTAAGAATTGTGTGTGATAAAACAGGAAAGTACAAAATGAGTTTGGACTGACTACAGGAATATATTATCAGGATGAAATGAGCATGGGAATATAGTTTGTTTATGCAGTATGGAGAGAATGAATGAGGATTAGATTGTAAAATAAACTTCTCTAGAAAGAAATGGATTGAGGCAAAGACTGAGAAAGATGTACTTGAAGAAAGCCTCAAGAAGAGAAGTAAAAACTATAATTAAAAAACATGTATGAAGTGATACATGAAAATAATGGAAGCAAAGATGGTTTATCACGATGTAAGGGTATGGAGAAGTGTCATGAATGGTGCTAGTGTAAGCTAGATTTAATTTCCTTTTCTTTTTATCTCGTGCCTTTACATTTAAGTACATTATTACTTACTAAAAAGTAGACTGTAGTTTAGCTGAGGGGATGGGTGTATAAAGCAGGGTATGTAAATCCTTGTAAAGTCTTTCTATTGTATACCTTTAACCAGTGCTTTTTTTCTAAAAAAAAAAAAAAAAAAAGGTGCCGGAACTCACACACGTCATACAACCCGCCTTGCCTATCCTACAAGGTTCCATCCAAAAAAGGTGCTGGAACTCCGTTCTGGGCGTTCTATGAGAAAAAAAGCCCTGCGTTTAACCGAAAAAAAATGTAATAGCAATGTCAAAAACTGATGAGCTTGTTATCTAATTTTGACGGTATGATCTAGCAATGTTTTAGGAACTGTATACATGATCGAAATTCCTGCATATGGCTCCTGTGCTAAGAAATTAAACAAAAGATTGGCTTAGCGCAATGTGAAACGAGTTTTATGAAGTATTCTGGTATCAGATTTTATTTTATTGCATGCGCCAGAGCAAAACAAGACCCTACAGTAGCTATATTTGGGCTTGTGGTTCCACATTATTGGAATTTCTTGAAATTGTTTTCTAGAACTGGTTGACAATAATAATAATAATAATAATGATGATGATGATGATGATAAAGTTGGAAGGGACCTCGGAGGTCATCTAGTCCAACCTCCTGCTGAGGCAGGAAACCCTATACCATTTCGGACAAATGGCTGTCCAGTTTCTTCTTAAAAACTTCCAGTGTTGGCGCATTCACCGCTTCTGGAGGCAAGTTGTTCCACTGGTTAATTGTTCTAACTGTCAGAAAGTTTCTCCTTAGTTCTAAGTTGCTTCTCTCTTTGGTTAGTTTCCACCAGTTGCTTCTTGTCCTGCCTTCAGGCACTTTGGAGAATAGCCTGACTCCCTCTTCTTTGTGGCAGCCCCTAAAATATTGGAACACTGCTATCATGTCCCCCCTCGTCCTTCTCTTCGTTAAACTAGACATACCCAATTCCAGCAACCGTTCCTTATATGTTTTAGCCTCCAGTCCCCTAATCATCTTTGCCACCATAAACACCTAATACATTTATTATGCCATATACTCTGAAAATGCACTACACTGAAAGCTGGTGGCCACAGAGTTCCAAAAACACTATCTCTTCTACCTTATAGTGTCAAAGTACTACTTCTGTGTAAGAAGCACTGAGGCACTTTTGGGACCAAAGGATTAGCCAATGACATCACTGTTGCCCAGGGGACGCCCAGTTAGGGGCTCCTTTTATGTCCTGTTAATGTCAAATACCAAGGTTATATTGTTGGCAACTCAGCCATGTTGATGCTGAAAGAAAGAAACAGTTGAGAGGGAGAGGAAAGAGCACAAGGGCCTGCAATTTTCTCCAGTAGCCTGCTGTTCCACAGTATGGCATCTTTTTGTTTAGTGGCCCTTCTCTTGGATTTGTTGTGAAGTTTACTGAAAAAAGTTGCTTTGCTGGACTATTTGTACTATTCCAGATGTTGATCTGAAAGTGTTGTGTGACTAGTACCTGGGCCTTAGCTTTTCTGCTAGCTGGACAATATTGAGAAATATAACCACAAAAGGAATTTTTTGCTTTTATTCTGGCTGGTAATCTTTCAAAAGATCCTGTTTAGCCTTCATTAGAAACGTTGGATAAGATGGACCTTACTATGACACCCCAGTCGTACTGCCAGTTGCATTTCAAATAGGACCCCTACTGCAGAAGCAATATTCCTCTGAATCACAGATACTAAGATCAAGCAGAAGGGGAAAGTGATAAATACATCACTGTGGGTCCTTGGTGCTCTCTAAGCTTGGTTGATTTCTTGCAGATGTTTCATTATCAAAGATCAGTGAAGTGCGGTGAAACATCTGCAAGAAAACAACCAAGTTCAGAGAGCACCAACAAACCAAAGTTCAACTCTGACCTACAAGTATTCTCTTCTATAAACACATCGCTTTTTGTATCCTGTTTAATTGGCTTCTTAAGACACAATAGACCGGCCACTGCTGAAAACAAAATTGTGGATGAAATGGATTACTAGTCTGAACTGACATTGTTTTATAATAATAATAAACCCTTTATTATCAAAGTATAACATGTATACAGTGAAATTGGCTGAGCCTCCCTCTGTGCCCCCCCTCACCACAAACTCGCGGTGACTACAAACCCCCAACTTATTTCACCCTGTGAACTAATTGCACATCACACCGGCCTCACGAGTCTGCCATGCATAAAGTTATAAAGTTATGTCTCATTCAGAAGCCTGACAGCCCATGGATAAAAGCTGTTCTTCAGCCTGTTGGTACGGCTGGCTATGTTTCTGTATCTCCTACCTGATGGTAGGAGAGTAAAAAGGTACAAACCAGTTATGCTTTTAATTTCCTCTGAGCATGGGTAGACTTGTCTGCTGAAAAACTATGTACACATAGGCAGACTTACTTAAACATTGTAAGCTTGGCTCTGGAGCTATGTATATTCTTGGAAAATGGAAAGAGGGTAAAACATAACTTAAGTTGTAACTGTCTCCTCTCAGTAAAGACAAGCAGGAACTAAAGCATGACTCCCTTCCCAAATATAACTCTTTTTTTAAGGGATGTACCTGTACCTTTTCAAGTTATGCACCTGTGAGGATACATAACTTTACAAAGCCTAAAAGATGCCACACTGCCACCTCTGTTTCCTGTTGGACTTCCGAAGTGGATCTACAGTAATTCTAAGACTTTTAACTGAAGCCAGAAAAAGTATTATGGAGGACTGATCCATCACCTATATGAATGACTAATGTATAAACTGGAAGGTGTCAGTTAAGCCCACCAAGAGAAAACAAACAGATCACACAGATCTTATAGTTTAATCACTTCTGTTTCATTGGCCAGATTGGGAGAGAAGGCTGGGCCAGATGGTTTTGACTTAGAGAAACTTTGGAGAAAAGTCAGCACAGAAGATGCTTCTTCTATAAGCTTCTTGCAGAGAACCAATCAATCAGTTGTTTTATAAACGTAGTTCTTCTGAAGGGATGAAGGAATCCTCTGGCAGCTGTCATTCTTTGGTTAGCATCCCATTTTTGGGCTAGGAAGAGCCATCAATGGTACTTGTTCCTGTCACTGCTTGGGTAGCCTGTTCCGGGATGCCAGATGGGTTGGTCAGGATTGAAGTAGAAACACTCAGTTGGCGAAGGGAGCTCAGTACAGCTAAGGGAAAAAATGTGTAGAGAGTGTAAAATCAAGAGACACTCCTAAAATTGTTTCTGTTCCTTTGCTCTGATAGGCTTTCTTAAGGACAGAGATATTGAATCTTGCCAGTGCAAAGTGCAGCAAGATATCTCCCCAAAGAAATAGTACTGCAGAAGGCACAAACGATATGAAATGTATACTTGTAATCGTATTATAAACTTCACATACAATCTATACTGTCTTTATTCTTGGATTTTCTATATCCTGTTACGTTCCTTCTGAATCCTCCTATGATTTATAATGTTGTTTCTCAACCTTGGCACCTTTAAAATGCGTGAACTTTAACTCCCAGAATTCCTCAGTCAGCAAGATGTTAAACAATGTTTTTTCTTTGAAAAAAGAATTGATATAGAAAACAAAAAGGAAAGATGCAAAATCAAAGAAAAGGTGAAATCCGGTCATTAAAACTATCACAAATAACATGATTTGTTTTTACTATAAAAGATGAAAGCACTGTGTTGGACAAGCTGAGATTATCCCAGAAAAGGTTATGATATTTCTGTTGGCATTAGGGTTAGGTTTAGCATTCACACTGCGTTCTGGCTTCCAGCATATTTTAAGATACTTTAAAACAAAGCTATACTAATCCAGAAGAGCTTCATTTTGTGTAATATAGTACAATCCTAAACATTTAGAAATGTCCCATTGGTTTTAATCCCCTCAAATAATGCTTCCCAAACGTTTTCCTTTATTACCCAAATCTGTTTATCCCACTTTCCTTTGGCATTTCAATGATGTGAGATATACATACATACATAGATGTGGCATGAAGGCACAGCGGTTAAGACGCTGGGCTTGTTGGCTGGAAATCTGGCAGCCCAGATTCCAGATCCTAGTACCACACAACGGGGTGAGCCCCTATCCTCGCCCCAGCTCCTCCCAACCTAGTAGTTTGAAAGCATGCAAATGTGAGTAGATAAATAGGTACCACTTTCATGGGAATGTAATAGCGCTAGCACTCTTAATGTCATGCTGGCCACATGACTGCAGAAATGTCTTTGGACAATGCTGGTTCAATGGCCTTGAAATGAAGATAAGCACCACCCCCTATAGTCGGCAATGACTGGTGGAATGATTGCAACTTTGAGGAACAGTTGTCTTCTTTTTTAGCGCTGTCATAACTTTGAACAGTCACTAACTGAGGTATTTAATAAATGAGACTATCCCTTATAAGCTCCATAGGTAAGGAAGAAATTGAATCTGGATGTCCTTTTTTAAAATTGCTTTAGAATCCAAGATTAAACCCGATGTCCTGGTTCAGCATTTGAATAGCTCCATGCTAAATCAAGGTTTAAAAATTATTTCCTGATTTTATTCAGTCCCTAATCTCTGCCCTTTGCACCCAGAACCATTCTAACTGAAAACAAAAAGGAAGTTAATGACTCACTGGGTCGTAGTGCCGGAAGTGAACAGTATTGATCCAGCCAGGCCAAAGATGTCTGACTAAGGCTTTCTAGGCTGGTGGTGGATACCATCCCATTGAAGGATTCAAAGAGAGGCCGCATGATGATGCTGAACTGATGGAGAAGGAGCAGTTAAGGAGCCAGTTTTGTTTGTTTGTTTCTCTTTGCTTCCTTTGCTAAGTGGCAAATTAGGTACCCTGTCACTTGCAACTTGTGCAAGAAACATTTGAATCATTGCAAGAAATACTTGAACCATTGGCAATTTCAGGGAATTGTTATTCTGGTCAAAGCTTTGCAGATTCCCTTTCAGGAGTGCAAGCAGCCTTCTCCCCAAAGGATACAACCCAGAACTTCCAATTCTGTAAGGTGCACGAACGGACATACTCATCAAACATATGTCGCATCTGGTCAAAGCGCTGGCGGGTGATGGGCACCCCTGTGTCAGGCAGCTGCTGCTGGCAGAGGCTATAGGAAAGGAATGACAAGTTAGGGAGAAACCTGGATTTGGCACAAAAGCCAGGTGCCGCCCTCTCCAGAGCCTGTGGCTTGTGCCTCCCCCCTTTACTGTATGCCCCTGCCATGCCAGAGCTCTATTTCAGCAACCAAAAGACACCCAAATCCCTTTCTTTGCCAAAGAAAGCCAGTAGGTGACCCAGCCAGGCCTACTTGATGGAAACGTTCAGCTCCTCAATTTGATCCCGCAGGCGCTGGGCTTCTTCCTGCAGGGTAGCCCGTTCCTGCTGCAGCTTGGAAATATATTCTGCTGTTTTCTGCAGGGTTGTGGCTTTGCTGATCTGCATCGTGCGGGGAAGGAGGGAAGGAGGGAAGGAAGGAAGGAAGGAAGGAAGGAAGGAAGGAAGGAGGGAGGGAGGGAGGGAGGGAGGGAGGGAGGGAGGGAGGGAGGGAGGGAGGAAGGAAGGAAGGAAGGAAGGAAGGAAGGAAGGAAGGAAGGAAGGAAGGAAGGAAGGAAGGAAGGAAGGAAGGAAGGAAGGAAGGAAGGAAGGAGAAATGCATTTAGATGGCTTCCCTGGCCTGGCTGCCTTCACAGCTGCTTTATAACATCTGCTTTGCCTGCCAGATGTGGGTTACAAAGGTTGCAGAACTCATCCTTCAGATTAAGCATAGCTGACAAAACTAGAGAAAAGCACATTCTCCAAGATGGTGTCAAGAACTGCAAGGATAATTTTGTGGCCTCTACTGAGGAAATTGGAAAGGATCAAGAACGGCCAATCAGCACTCACCTTGAGGCTAGGCTGGGCACTCAGAGTGCTCACTAGGCCATGTAATGTATCAAATCCCAGTTTGATGTTAAAACGGCGTTTCTGTTCAGCAGAAATGTGGATGATTCTGCGGCTCTCAGTCTAGGCGGGAAGAAGGGAATTTTCAGTGTAAAACTTAGATGTTCAGTCCAAAGGTATACAGATAGTCCTCAACTTACCACAATTGGGACTAGAATTTCCATTGCTAAGCAAGGCGGTTGTTAGGTGAATCATGCCCAATTTTACAACTTTTCTTGCCACAAGTTAAGTAAATCATGCAGTTGTTAAGTGAATCTCATGGTCATTAAGCGAATCCAACTCTCCCCATTGACTTTGCTTGTCAGGAGCTGACTTGGGAGGTCTCAAATGGCAATCACATGAATCCAGGCTGCTGCAACTACATGGCAAATACATGCCAGTTGCCAAGTGCACAAATTCTGATAACATGAATATGGGGAGGCTGTGATGGTCATAAGTGTGAGGACTGGTGCTAAAAACTGCTTTTTTCAATGCTGTTGTAACTTTGAAAGTCACTAAGTGAATGGTCACTAAGTTGAGGACTACCTGTATGTAGCTGCTGAATTACATTGGCAGAATCTGGCACCAAATGGTCATATTAGTGGAATGTATTTCCTGCTAGGTTTCCATAGAAAAAAACAAAGGAAAAAGCGGAAAGGCTCCTAAGTTGTTTTCTTTTAGGACTGATGAAATAGAACTTTAGAACAATCCTGATATTGATGGGATTTTTAGGTTTGCACTGCGCCTTTGAAGCTGAGCATTTGGAGCAGGGTGCAAGAAGGCAGGTGCGTTTTCAGGCTGCCCCTTTGTTTTTTAACACAGTCACAACGTGTGTGTTTTTATGGGTTCCATCACAGACGATTGATTTTCTTACCATGTATTTCTAAAAACTGTATAGAAAGACAGCAAGGGAAATGTCATAGACCAATGAAGCACATGAGAAATAAGCTGTGATAAACCAGAGGGGTTTATTAATAAAGAGCCCTTGGTGCCAAGGACCCCTTATTTCAATCCTGAGCTACAAATACTCTACGAGTTTATTAATACTTCACAATTCACTAATTTCTGGAGTGGAGAGGGTGAATATTATCTGAGGAAACACGATCTTACCTTGCTTGGTTCTGTCCTATTTTGGCTTGAATAGAGAGGGGATGGAACTAGCCCCTCAAGGGAGACTGGGGGTCCCTGTGTCATTCTCTGGTTATTGGCTGTTGGGGGGGAGGGATAGAGAAGAAAACATCACTGCAATTATTAATTGCTTCTGAGCATATACAGACTTTCTTTCATTACTGATTTGCTATGGAACATATATGCATGCAGACACTGTCCAGAATAAATAGAACCAGGGCTTTTTTTTCTCATAGAACGCCCAGAACGGAGTTCCAGCATCTTTTTTGGCTGGAACCTTGTAGGGTACGCAAGGTGGGTTGTATGACGTGTGTGAGTTCCGGCACCTTTTTTTTTTAAGAAAAAAAGCACTGAATAGAACTACTGGTTGATTGTGGATGCTGGTTCTAATGACTCACCACAAATGGGAGTGGGGGAGAGACGTTCTATCTTGGGGACAAGCAATGAACCTGTTGATGCTGTGGTGGTTGGGATGGACTGTGAGGGGCTGGAGATGGGGGACAGCTGAGGGCTGAGCTCTGTTATTCGGGGCAAGAAGCTGGCAGGTTCTTCACCAAATGGGTTGTGCTACAAAAAAGAAGGGGGGGAAAAGTTAGCATTGCACAAGAGAACATCAGGCACATGGCAGGGCTGTCCATGATACCTTCTGACACCAGATACTGAAAATTATTCCAGAAAGGGAAACAGATTTTATGGAAGATAAATCTGTTAGTTACAGTCCTGATTTCTAAGAGCCAGGAATGGAATTTCCATGGTCAGAAGTAGTATACAGTATCTGGGAATAGTAGTTCTTTGGATAAACAGTGAGTTGCTATCTGCCTCCAGCTCTGTTGATGAATTTCCCAGAGGGAGATGTGCCCAGGCACTGTTGGACAAAAGGAGCTGGACAACCTCGGACTTTTGGTCTGAGAAGTGCTACCATTCTTCTGTTACAATTTTTCCTCTAATAAAAGCTAGTATTGGCAATCTAGATATGGGATGTATATTGGTTCATTTCACTCATGGTGATGGCAGTTTTCCCTCCCAATTGTCTAACATTATATTCTCCAACATCAACCATGGTTTTTCACTTTCTCCTGAAATCCCACATTTTTATGTATCAAACTGTCCAGGTGAGATACAGCTCCGTTCCTCCCGGTTCTATCTTAACCCTGTTCCAAACCCAAGAACCTCCCCTTCCAAACCAATCTCTCACCAACACCTACCAGGATCTCAGGTGCTGTGGAGGCTACAGTGTGGCTGGGAGCAGACAGGTCCTCTAAACTAGGTTCTGCTTTTCCTGTAAAAAGAGAAAGATCAGGCAACCCACTTATAGAGCACGCCAAGGTTCACACAAGATGCATAAGCCAAAATCAAGGATGACAAAATACAATCCATATAAGATGTGATGGTGCGGCAGATAAACCATGCTGAATGGATGGTCTGATTCACACAATATCCTGACAACTGCACTCCCACATTATGCTGAACCACAAATCGCCCAATTTCATTTTAACCTAGGTTAATATGTTGTGTGAACCCAACCAAACAGTGCTTTCAATTTAATCAGTGCTCAGGATGCTTTAACTCTAGCGCAGTGGAGCTATAGTTAAGGAGGAAGGGCAGCGTAAACTTTCTTCCAAATGGAATCTTGTCCCCACGAACAGCATATCTGCATGAGCCTTAGCTAGAGATGGACCCAGCCATTTTTTCCCCTCTCTGGAGGTCTTTCTGGGTTACTGAAAGAAAGATACTGATGTTTTCTTAGTTAACAAGTAAAAGGCATCCGGATGGATCCCCCGGTGTGTTGTGGAGCACCTGTACAACAGGAAAGAAGCAAAGCTCCCTTTATCCCTCTGTCACACAGCTATAGTTATAGCTTTCTCAGCAGCCAGAAACATCTGTCCGACCTTGCCTGGGCTTGAAAGCTAAGCAGGGTTAGGCCTCATTAGTACTTGGAGGGGAGACCTCAAGGGAATACCAGGTCCATATGTTAGACAAGGAAGTCAAAATAACATCCTAGAAAAAGGCAAGGAAAATTATTCCCCTACTTTTGTCCTATGTCCAAAGAGTGAACCTGAAGGGACCCTGACTCAAAAGACATTTTACTTTCATTAGAGCTACAGATCTGAAATGGAGAATGGTCCATTGCCAAAGATTACCAACTATTACATAGCTAAGACCAGGAACAGCTAACAATCCAAAAATAAGTGGATCGTTGGCATGCATATTTGTCATCTTGTTCTGGATTTCAAGAGCTGACCTCTCTTTCCTTTTTACTCTGTGTGAGTGTGTTCATTATTAAATCTGATGATGGGAACTATTATTTTTAACATCCATATGCGCCCATTTGAAAGGCAATAATTGCCTTAAAAACAGGATAAAAATATTTTATTTATTTGTTTGTTTGTATCCATCCTCCTCCTATTTTTTCCACAATAGCAGATCTGTGAGGTGGGTTGGGTTGAGGGAGAGTGGCCCAAAGTCACCCATCTGGCTTTCATAGCTAAAGGAAGATTAGAACTCATGGTCTACGGCTTTCTAGTGCGGTGCTTTAACCACTAGACCAAAGTGTCCAAAATAAGTACGGGACAATGGGATTATATAGATGGTGATTTATATGCCATTTGCAGAGAGAGAGACAGAGAGAGAGAAGCACTTGCGCTTCCCTTCTCTCTCTCTCTCTCTCTCTCTCTCTCTCTCTCTCTCTCTCTCACACACACACACACACACACACACACACACACACACACACACTGAGTGGGGGAAGAGGACTGGCAGACCAAGGGCAGGAGAGAGCCAGCCCAATAAGAATGTGTGTCAGCTTCTCAGAGAACAGCATGAAGCCAGCTTGCCAAGTGAGCAGAAGATCAAAGAGAGGGGGGGGAGAGAGAGAGAGAGAGAGAGAGAAAGGGAGGGAGACAAAGAGAGGGAGGGAGGGAGGGAGGGAGAGAGAGAGAGAAAGAGAGGGAGAGAGAGAGAGAGAACTCATGCACAGCAGCCTCTATTTCTTTTTAATTAAACTCTTCAATCAAGCTCTCCCCCCCTCGTGCGCATGTGCACGCAAGTTTTGCAGCTCCCAGTGTTTCCTCTGGGAAACAGGTCCAAGTGGCTCTTTGAGTGTTTAAGGTTGCCGACCCCTGCACTAGGGCATATCCATACAGCTGCTTTGCCATGTTCATCCCAGAGCTATTAGGAAATCATGCTGCCCCAACAGGCATCTTTACTGTGCTGTGAAAGCAGGTGTGTGCTGCCCTGCTGCCCATCCGCTTTTAACATGCGCCTTTCTAGGGGATGTGACTGATGCTTCCCTCTGCTCAAATCCCAGTCCTGACAGTGAGAACAATTAATCAGTGCAACGACTTGCCTGCAGAAGCTGTGCGTGTTCCATCACTGGAGGTTTTTAAGAAGAGATTGGACAACCGTTTGTCTGAAATGCTATAGGCCAGGGTTTCCTGCCTGAGCAGGGGGTTGGACTAGAGGACCTCCAAGGTCCCTTCGAACTGTGTCATTCTGTCAATCTGTTAATCCTCCACCACGTGGAACGGCTCTTCCCAACTCTAGGCACAGCTGTCTGCTTATTGCATGCACGGTTATGTTTTCCCTTTTTCTTTTCTATCACAAAGTGAGCTGAACTTTTAAATGAATGCTTTTTAACTTTGGTTCGACTAGTCAGTTGTTCAAGCACTAGGTGGCAGGAAGCATTAGGGTTTTGTTTTGTTTTTTTTCTCTGTTTTGTTTTTTTAATTTGTTCAGTCAAAGATACAGCCATCAAAAGCTGGAGACTGAGAAAAGGGTTTGGCTATGGAGAGCAGTGTGACCGCTGTGAAGTTCCCCGAAACCCTCTGTGAAGAGAGGGAGGGAGGAGCCAAGACTGCCCTGATATAATGGAAGGTGGAAATGGCTTTGGGAAACAGGAGGAAGAGCAGCAGATTAGGCAATGGATAAATAAGAGGCGGCTGAGTCTGCAGAAGGAATGTGGGCATGGCAAAGGTCACAGAAGGGATCCTCCCTAGTTTCTTGTGCAAAGGTGAGGTGGGGGGAGAGGAGTACTTTCACACCTGCAAGATTCTGTTAATGTGACCTTGCCGTAAAGACAGAACTTGTACTCCTGGATGTGCTACTTCTCTGTACTATCTGGCATGGCTGACACCTGGGATGAGCTGCCACTGGAAACAGAATTCTCTGCCACCAAGCTACAGAAGTTCAAGAGCTAAGTCCTTTCCATTATACTTTCAACTACATGCAAAGATGGGCCAGTCAGTTTCAGGACTTTGCACTTCTTTGACCAACACAAAATAGTCTGCAAAAAATGCAGAGGAGTCATCTACAATTTAAATGGATTCTCCTATAAATTCATTGGCTAAGCCAGTAACCAGTAAAATAACCGGTCAAATCAATCTATTACTTGTAAAAAATATTTCAGGACTAGGAAAAGATTGCAATCTTCTACATGTCCATCAGGTAAACCACTATAACAGTGATGGCGAACCTTTTAGAGACCGAGTGCCCAAACTACAACCCAAAACCCACTTATGCATCGTCGAGTGCCGGGTGGGCGTGGCCCATTGGCTGGGTGTGGCCCATTGGGTGGGTGTGACCCTTTGGGTGGCCGTGGGTGCGGTGGTAATGGCAGATTGGGTGGGACTAAAAAGTTCAATCAATCAATTCCAACTTTGCAAGATCTTTTTTTTCCCCGTGAGAAGTTGAAATTGATTGATTGATTGAACCTTTTTTTTTGCACACGGCAGTGGAGGCCTAAAGCGAAAAGGTTTTATAAAACCCAGCTGAAGGCCTAGGACTGGGGCGACGGCGCACGTGCCCACAGAGAGGACTCTGAGTGCCGCCTCTGGCACCCGTGCCATAGGTTTGCCACCACTGCACTATAAGTCTGTATTGATTTGACAGTACGCAATAAAAATGAAAGTTCAATAGGATTCAATGTTTGAAAAAAATAAGCAATTTGGGTGTGTACATGCTTTGACAATGATTTGGAAGAAATGCTTTGGATGCTTTCATATAAGCCCAGCATCTTTTTATTATTCAGTAAAAGAGATGCTTTGCTCAAACAAAACAGTACAAAACAGTATTTCCAAATCATTTTTAAAGCATATACAATACCTTCCAAATGCATTGCTTCCATGGTCCCCCAAATACCCAATAGGACTTTGGCTACTCTGGCAATTAAAAGTCCAAAACACAGAAGGTTTCTCTTTGAATTGCTGACTTATCTGTAGAACTAAGTGAATCAAACATTTCTTGGCAACCTCCTAAACATACGGTACAAAAGGAACAGGACTGTGGCCAGCTAAAGAAACGGTGCATGGATTGATATGTGAGAAATGTCATTTTTGGTCACTAATCAGTTTGCATGGCAAGCACTTAAAAAAAAATCAAGCAAAATGCATGCAGTATAGATGTTAGAAGAGGAATATCTGCCCTTTCTTTTCCAGCACAATTAATGCAACATCTTTTCTCTGCGATGTTATACATATTAATAACAATAATGGAATAGATCCAGGTTCATGCTTAGATTCAGTGATACCTAATTGATATTAAATGTTATATTTTATTTTAAAACCAGTAAGTCACTGGACTTTGCATGATTCATGTCACATCGCCTTTAAATATGTCTAAATCTGGATTTCACCCAATGCTTTAAACTAGTCTGAACAAGCTGTTAAATAACTAAAATGAGAATAAGATCTTTTTGAAAAATCCGAATGCAAGCTATTCTTTAATTAGACCTTGCAGTCTTAATCCCAATGCATTTCCGGTCTGGCAAACCCCCTCAGGAAATATTTTGCCTCGTACTCCTACCTGTGATCAGCAGGTCTGTCAGACACTGGTCAGATATCGTTGCAGCAAGTGGCGGGACAGGAAGTCTTGGGGACCTCTTGTTCTTGATGGTTGCTCCCTTGGTCTTGGGCCTGTCACTTCCAGACGGAGGCTGTCCTCTGGCCATGCCAGAAATAGGGCTGCTTGGCAAACTAGGGAGCAGATGTGATGCACTGAAGGGAGAATGGTATCCAGATGGCAAGTCTATATTGTAACCTGGTATATTTGGGGGAAAACACGCTGTGGAGAGGGATGGGGAATTAGGACAAGAAAAGAGAGGGGCAGATGGGTAGTGGAACTTGGAGCAAGGGGCTGACAGTGGTGGACATACTGGCTGTTGTCCCAGCAAAGGGGCTCTGGAGAGGGGGGCAGGACAATAAGAGCCATAGTGGTCAAGGCTAAGCCATTTGTTGGGGAGCGTGTAGGGAAGCAGGGGCTTCTGCTTGCGATCAGGACCAAAATTGTTGGGGGAGGTTGAGGGGGAAGGAACGGGAGGGAGCTCAGGGCTGAGGAAGGCACCAGGTGAACCAAGCTGAGCTGGGCAACCACCTGCAGACTGAAAAAGAAAAAAAGAGGAGAAAGATGCTGCAGCAGCAAAAAAAAAAACATTAATTAAAAAATCCTCCCATCTCACTGTTGAAGTGGACAGCCAACCAGAGAAAGGGGAAAGTGGCACAAAGTCAAAAAGGGGAAGACTCCAAATTCTATCTGACCTCTAGAAACCCAAACTTTGGGTTTGGCCTTTGCAAGTTTATTTAGCACTTAGGATATTCTTCTGATTTGGACTGTAAAATCAGCCAAACTAAGTAAAATAGAAGCATGACTGGCAATTTGTGAGCTTATCCATGCAGTACTGTGGATCTGAATCTTACAAGTGGGAAATAATAGTGGGGTGGATTATTCATATTTAGATCACCAAAATGTTGCCAGTCTACATACTCTGTTGGAGTCCATCCCATTACTAGGGGTGCAACAGGCAAGAATTGATCCTTGATCTTCAACCTATTTTCCCCATCCAAATAACACTTTGCACTTGAATCTGTTCATTATTCCACGTTCAGTTTATACTGAGAATTCCTGAAAATGGACAAATGTCTCCCTCTTGAGTCTTGATACAGCAGGAACCCTATGCTGAAGCCAGACTGGGTTGGAAACGGCTGAAAAATACAAAAGGAGAGAACGGGCCCCAAAACTAAATCAAAACCTAGGATAGAGCATTGGAAAAACAGATGACCATCAACCTTGCACACCTGAAGACGAGGGCTGCTCAAGACAGGAGAACTGGCAGAGCCTGTGGGAAGCAAGGCATTGGACGGGCTGGGAAGAAGGTTGCTACCACCACTATCAAAAAGGGTGTCTGGTATTGGCACAAAGCAAGGCTGATCTGTGTAGCTCAGAGGGGGTTGTGCAGGCACTGGCCGAGGGCTGGAGAAGAAATCTAGAGAATAAAAAAGAGACCTAGTCAGTTGGACAGTTGGATACTCTACAAAAACATTCCAAATTTGACAAGAGGCATTCATGCCAAAGATTCAATCTGCTTGCATGTACTTTATTTTCCATGCCTTACTTTATTACCATAGAATCAAGAGTTATGGAATTATGAAAGTCCCAAAACATTAGGATTTACAGTACTTATATAGCCCAGGTAGATATTCCACAACAGAAACAGAAATCAATATGCAGCATTCATTACCTCCTTGCATCCCCTAAGGCAGAGGTCCCCAACCTTTTGGGCACCAGGGACCGGTTCCATGGAGACAGATTTTTCCGTGGATCGAAGGGGTGTGGTTTTGTGTGCTGCCTGCATCTTGCGGAGGGGACTATGTGCAGACCGGTTGCTGGTATGCCGTGGCCCGGTGCCTGTCCATGAACTGGGGGTTGGGGACCCCTACCCTAAGGCTATCTCTGCCCCATCTCTATAAAAAGGCAATCCAATTTGAATACAATTTGAGAATACAATATTATTTCCTTTCAAACATGTATTCAGCTAAGAAACAATAATCTCCCCAGAATCATTGAGGAACTCTTTCAACTGGCTAAGAAAAACATCATGCAAACAGAAAAATGAATTAATTCAGCAAGCAGGCTAGGGGTGTTATGGGAAAGCAGCAATAATGTGATATCCAATTTGGACCCTGGATTATACTGTGGCTAAACAGAAGTGCCTTACCTGGGAGACACTTTCAGTTTATAAGTTTTCCTTCTTTAACCATGGCTTTAGGTGTTGTCTAAATTCAAACTTGGGTGGTGAGCTCAGCTAAGTCTAACTTCTGACCTCAAAACTTCACAAGAGAATCTAAGAGCAACTATAAAAAGAGCTGAAGCATCTGCTGCTCTTGAAGTTTTTTTATTACTTATCGGAATATGCAAGATGAAATAAGATATATGTAAGATAAATATGTAAGATAAAATAAGAGTACCAGGAGGTTATCCCAATTGGGTTACTACAGGATTTTATTTTGTAAAAAGATGTCTGGGGTCTAGGCCCCGTAAAGATAGCTAAAATATTGCTCTGACCAGGGAGGACACCTTACCTTACCAGGTTTCTTGCGTAGTACTCATGGATAATTATTGTATTCAGAATTAGGATCAGTCTCTAGTTAATTTATTGGTCAACGTTATGTGAATGCAGAAAACAGGGAGTGGTGGTGTCATACTGGAGGTGACTAAGAGACTGAGAGACGATTCTACCTCTACCCCATTTACACCTGGCTCCCTTCCTTAGCTCTCTTTCAATTTTAATGTTTATATCTATTATTTTAATATCTTACTGTTTTATTCTGTTGTTTTTACTCTGTTGTAAGCCAGAGTCGCCTCTAGGTTAAATGGGTGGCATAAACATTTAATAAATACATAAATAAATTAGCCTGGTTAAATATGGTGTGTGAACACAGCCATTGAGCTTAAGAGATATTGCATCCCCTTCCTGATGCTGATGGTGCTGCCTTGGAGAAGCCACTGCACTGTTCTCACCTGGCCAAAGATGGTTGGAAGGCAGCTGGCTGGATTTTGTAGCAGCAGAAGCAGCAGCAACAGCAGCACAACAGGGAGGATGGCTGCAATTGTGAAACAAGCATTTTTACCACATAGAGAAGCAATCATGTGTCAGATACCACCCATGGGCCACAAAAGTGTTGGTCGACACCTTCTAGGGCCCTGATCACAAAAGGGTGATGGATGCTGTGGGATAAAATTGCCACATTTGTAATCTCTCTACTCACAGAATATTATAGTCTAGTGCAGGGATGTCCAACCTTGGCAACTTTAAGACTAATGGACTCCAACTCCCAGAATTCCCCAGTCAGCTGCAAGTCTTAAAGTTGCCGAGGTTAGACACCCCTGGTCTAGTGAATTTCTGGTGAGTTAGATTTGGAGAACTGAGGGAAAAAGCCTTCTGCTTAAAAAGTCTGCTAAGAATCAAAGCTTCCTTTTAGAAAAGATTTTTGTGGTCTTTTAGGTTTATTTCAATAATAAGAAACGCAAGTGCATTTCTCTTCTATGTTAAATAGCAGTAACCGACTGTGTCAATAAAGATGTGGGGCATCTAATATTTTGTAATCTGGGGCCATACTTGGTCATGGCTGGGTGGAGCACCATACTGGCACAGTGGCTGGAGCTAGGATGAGGCCAGCAGAAAGGCTAAAATTATTTCATTTAAAGTTACAATTAATTCAAGCTTATATTTATGAAGCGCAAGTGATATTCCTTGTATTTAATAATTTTCCCCTTCTAAGAAAAATCACGTAACGGGCCACATGCAACTTTGGAGCCTCAAAATGTAAAACTCCCACAGTTGTGGAAGAAAATATGGCAAGCATAGGCCTCCCACAAATCTATGAGCGCAGTTTGGTCAGGAGAAAAGGAACCAAACAATCTTTGCTGTGAAGAAGATCAAACACCTCCCTGGACGTATCAAACAGGTCTGCGCCTGCTTTCTTGCGCTTGCTTTGCGTGCAGCCTGTGGCTAACCACATCCCATGGTCTTCCCGAAGCTGAGCCCCGTGACCCAGTCGTGGCTTACTCTCCCTTCCTGTCCCTGCAGCACAACTCTCTCATTTCTAGAGGGTCAGACGGCCCAAACCGCTGCCTTGGCACTTTCGGAGTTGCGTGAAACGGGCATAGTCATTCCGAGCTTGTTTTCTTCCTCAATCCAAAGTGGAAATTTTGAAAACCACAACCCCACATCAAGCACTCTGAAGATTTTTCCACTCAATGTGTGGGGTTGCTCTTTTTCCGATGTTGATTCCCAATTTTAAATTGACCGACTTCAGTCGTTTTTGTGACCTAGAACTTCATTTTTAGCAATATAGAATTGGCATGGGTGAAAACTGGGAGTTTATCCACAAAGGGAAGAGGTGCGCACGCACACAACACACACAGGCAAGGGAAGATTAAATGTCTGAGGTTGCATCAATCACTTAGCACTTTTATTGGGAGCTGCATCTAAAATACTGGCTGAGTTTGCACAGCGGCTAAGCTAGTTTGAGGTGCAATAAGGTATGGAAACCCAGGTGCTGCTTTAGCATGTTTTACAAAGTAAGGCATCATGTTACAGTATAAGATAATGTGGTTTGTTTGGGCATAACATATAACATGAATGTAACAATTGTGTTTTGCTGAAGGGGATTTACAGTATGTTTTTAAATTAACTTCACTATCTTGTTAATATAATTACCAAGACCTAAACGTTACCCAAGCAAGTAAGAAACATGTTTATGTGACAAAATCCATTTCTCCAGAATGTAGCAACCACTAGAAGTGGACCATCCTTTTCATAAGCATACGTGACACAAAAGAACCAAACAGCTATAAATGTGTCAAAACTTTTCAGCTAAGGCAACTGACCACACTCATCTTGCCATTTTCTCCAAGTGAGGCCAATAGCTGTTTTCTAAAGTTGGTTGCTACTAGTTATATACAAAGTTAGAACTTTGTGACAAAGCCTAACATTAAGACAACTAACATAAAAATAAGTGTTCAAAATAAATCTTAATACTGTTTGATGGCAAAAAATGTTTCACCAAGATATGCCAGATCAACATAGGGTTTAGGCTTTAATGTATCGTATTAAAAAGATCTTCTGAAAAACCTAAGTACATTTTTTGAGAAAAGAGCCTTCAAGTTCCCACTGAAGAATTTTACGGATTTTACTCTGCCAGCTGTTGCCAACTATAGGAGTCAGTATTCCTCTCCGTTTCAAGGGCATTGAGTCAGTGCGGCCCAAAGACATGTGGCCAACATAACATCACAGACTTCGGTTACCTTCCCACCAAAGTGGTATCTATTTATCTATAAGGTTCTACATTTAGGCAAGAAAAACCAAATGTACAGGTATAGTATAGGGGGTACCTTGCTCAATAGTAGTAACTGTGAGAGGGATCTCGGCGTCCTAGTGGACAATCATTTAAATATGAGCCAGCAGTGTGCTGCAGCTGCCAAAAAAGCCAACACAGTGCTAGGCTGCATTAACAGAGGGATAGAATCAAGATCACGTGAAGTATTAATACCACTTTACAATGCCTTGGTAAGGCCACATTTGGAATATTGCATCCAATTTTGGTCACCACGATGTAAAAAAGATGTTGAGACTCTAGAAAGAGTACAGAGAAGAGCAACAAAGATGATTAGGGGACTGGAGGCTAAAACATATGAGGAATGGTTGCTGGAATTGGGTATGCCTAGTTTGCTGGTTGCTGGAATTGGGTATGCCTAGTTTAACGAAGAGAAGGACGCGGGGGGACATGATAGCAGTGTTCCAATATCTCAGGGGTTGCCACAAACAAAGCGCCTGAAGGCAGGACAAGAAGCAACGGATGGAAACTAATCAAGGAGAGAAGCAACCTAGAACTAAGGAGAAACTTCCTGACAGTTAGAACAATTAACCAATGGAACAACCTGCCTCCAGAAGTGGTGAATGCTCCAACACTGGAAGTTTTTAAGAAGAGACTGGACAGCCATCTGTCTGAAATGGTATAGGGTTTCCTGCCTGAGCAGGGAGTTGGACTCGATGACCTCCAAGGTCACTTCCAATTTTATTATTATTATTATTATTATTATTATTATTATTATTATTATTATTATTATTATTATTATTATTATTATTATTATTATTATTATTACTTGCATTTGCATACTTTTGAGCTACCAGGTTGGCAGGAGCTGGGGCGAGAACAGGAGCTCTCCCTATTGTGTGTCGCTCAGGTCTCCAACCTGGAGTCCTGGCTTTCCAGATGACAAGCCCAGTGTCTTACCTGCTGAGGCACCACGCTGTCCTATCACAATATATGCAAGTAGATAAATCTCTGAAATAAGATTTGCAAACCTATTCAATGTGTTCAGCTTTTCAACTGTGATGTGCCACATTTTGTGTGGCCTCCTGAATGGAACACCTACTTTCAAAACGTCAGTCTCCATGATCAACCAATTACTTTATTAGTG